TCCAGGAGGAGTTGAGATAAGTCCGGCATCAAGGCCACAGTTTGGGTCAGGCAGAACTTGTGAATTGTTGTTTCTGCCTTTAAAGTCTCGCTGGTACATCAACCTTTATTTCTACAGGTAAATCCCATTGAGCCTCGAGGACTCATTTACAAGAGAGACCTGATTTAACAAAGAAAGATGACAACAATGGACAACAGCAACAACAATAAACAATTATAAAAAGTCATACTGCAGGTTTTGTTTTTGTTTTTTTTGTTTTTTTTACAAATAGGATGGCTAAAAGGAAAAGGTAACAAAAAAAAAAACAAAAAAAAAAACCCAGCTAGATTCTAAGGCGAATGTAGAAAACTAAAAACAGGAACATGTCTGCAAACATATTCTCTAATGGAAACTCCAAAACAGCTGAATTGATCCTTTACTCCAAAAGTTGAGCTCACAGCTTCTCCAGATTATTCCATTTATTCCATTTCCATATTTATTATGAGTGCTGCCAGGGAGATCACAGTCCTGATAACAGCTGCTCCAATTCCCTGTCACAGCTCCACATTCAGTCCGAGCACTGTCAAGCTTCAACACCTCCACACGAATTTGTAGACAACCAGATTCCACCAACCCAAACAGTAGAATCTGGTCGTCATCCTGAATCCAATTTGTCCTTCAGAGTTCAGAGGGTCCTCCTTACCCTGACTCCTGTCAGGAGAAGTTGATCGATTTTGTTGAGAGACCAGCTGATCCTTCCAATTAAGAGGTATGCAGGAAAAAAAGAGGCTTTTTAAGGGTTCACAGGACAAAAGAGCGCAGCAGGGAAGCGGGTGGGGGTGGGGAGAGAGGGAAAACATGTCTGGTTTCACCGTAGAGTAGCAAGAAAAAAAAAGAAAAGAAAAGTGAGACCTGTTTGGACAATAAAAGTGGTGAAAAATGACACATAGGGTTTGGAGACAAAAAAAATTCCTAACACACTTTTAACCTCTGTTTGAAAGTCAACAGCGTGATAATGAAAAAAAAATCTCGCACACGAGCACATAATGATGCCGACAATACGCCGAGGGTGGGGGACTTGGACTGGACAGTCAAAAATTCAGAAAGGACAGTTATCAGTTATCAATTATCAGTTATCATTTATCGGCCATACAACTGTGGCCCGAGAGATTCAGCTGAAAGTCCTGGTGCACCTTTTATTTGAACCTTCAGAGATTTGAACAGCTGATCTGAAGCAAACAGGCAGGAGTTCACCTGAACTGACCACTCCTGCTGTGTTTGATGGTCTCCTTCTTCACCATCCATCCATCCATCATCCATCCATTATCTTCTGCTTCCAGGTCGTGGGGCCAGCAGCTTTACCAGGGCCCTCATCCATCCATCCATCCATCCATCCATCCATCCATCCATCCATCATCTTCTGCTTCAGGGTCGTGGGAGCAGCATCTTCACCAGGGAGGCACAGACATCAACAGCCACCTCTTCAACTCTTCTAGGACCCCATGGTGTTCACAAACCAACTGACTATTTATTAATTAATATCCTGATGCTGCTCAATAATCCAGGTAGAAAAATGTAAAAAGTTAAGTCTGGTCCTCTGGACATTCACAAAACAAAACAAACAATACAGTTTATAATAAATAAACAATAAATGTTTTTTGTTTGTTTTGTTTTTTGAATGTCCAGAGGACCAGACTTAACTTTTGCTTGACACACGAGCCGATCTGAACTGATACGAACTGACCTGATCTGCACCGTAACAGTGGAAAAGGGGCATATTCTGCCTGTCAGAGTCAGAGTTTCTTTACTGTCATTCGCACCTCATGTGGTACATGTGGTGGAGCGAAATTATGTCCACAGGGTCCCAGTTACATCCAACAATAAAATGTCTAAGAAAAACAGTAATAACATCTAAGATATGAACTAAGAAAAACATCAACTAAATATACACTAAGCACTGATAGCATAAAAACATTATGTGGAACAGCAGCACAAACATGAACATGAGTCTGTGTGTGTCATGGGTGTCAGAAGCATCTGTAATGTGGGGGGAACACTATAATGTATGTGTGTGTGTTCTTGTGCGTGCACACGTGCCAGTGTCCAAAAAGTTGTACACTAGTGTACAAAAAAGCAACATTTCATCTAGATTTCCTTTAATTCCATTTAAAGCATGTTTCTCACCAAGTTTGTGTAAATTCAGCTGTTTCAAATACATCTGAACTATAATGCACTACAGGTTGGCACTATTTGTGTTTATAAAGAAATAAAAACCATCACCACTGGACTTTCTTTACTTGTGTTCAACACATTTCATCTAAATGATGTTTCTCATGAAGCTTGAGGACAATAAGGTGTGGGGTTTTAAAGACATTTCAACTTTAATGCACCTGAACACACAGCGTCTCTTCCACCTGCAGCGTCCGACAGCATCACAGTTAATGCTAAGCTAACATGCTACAGACATAGTGCTCCTCTCAAGCATCCTCCTAACATGAATATATGTTGATGATCAACCCTTCGGTCAACAACTGCCCGCTCTAAACTTGTTAAACTGGCGAGCGATCAGCACAGAGGTGTCTCCACCTCCTCCACCTGTCAGCGTTCTCTACCGAGGCAGGAGGAGATGTAGAGGAGAACCACTCTGCAGGCTGCTGGAGAGTTGGAGGTAACCAGGAAAACCTGGAGTGGAATTTTAGTGGTTCGAGTATTCTCCTATTAATTAAGTGGAATGGATTTGTTCACAAAGAAAGAAACAGCGCCATCTGAACTAATGTTTTATAGTAAAAGTGTGTGTGTGTGTGTGTGTGTGTGGGGGGGGGG